TTATTTTGTATTTGAGTAGATTTTTTTCACACCAATTACTTTTTCTATCTCTCTTCAGTCATTTGTTGTAGAATGGAGAGTTTTCTTTGTCTGCTAATGTCCCTTTACAGGTTCTGTGATGGTTATTTTCAGCTGGCTGTTAATGTTTTATTTTGTTTAGTTGTCTTTTTTTCATAAAAATGTCCCATTTTTAAAGTTAATTTAATGTGTTTTTCAATTTGAAATAAAACTGTTTCGCCCTTTTTGCCATTAATATTATTATCTTTACAATTGTGTTCACATTCACGCAGACTTTCTCTCTTTATCCTTTGTTTCTCTCTATATTCTATGTTTCCAATGTCGAAGCGAGGACTGCAGGATTATCTGTGTGATTTTTCATCTTACTTTTAAATGTATACAGATGCAAAAAATTTGACTGCAATTGTGATTTGAGAACTCACTTTGCCGGTGGTAAGTAATTGCATTTGCATATCCTCCACCTATAAATTAGCACAGTTTGGTCATTACAATATGATTTGCATATTGAGCAAGTCTGCACATGCTGTCAGCTGAATTGCACATGCAAATCAACTTGCAACTTATATGAAGATGCAGGTTGTGTGCATGTTTTATTACATACATACATCTTAAGGATCAGACCCTAAATGTTTTCTAATAGCCCACCACTTCCACCCTGATCCACTTCCACTCTATTTATGTTTCCTACAAATTGATGTGTATATAACAGCTTTTTTGTGCTAGTAATTGCTCAGTATGCAAGTAATTGATAGTCTAATGAAACATAGTGGGTCAGAAACAACATTTTGTTGTTTCTAAGATATGAAGAGTGCTTTTCTTTTAGCTAAAGGTTTAAGAATTTCAGCATTGGTCGAAACTTTATCTGGATCTCTACAAAACATATTTCATTAAAGAATAAATTTATACCAGCTTTATTCGGCTACAATCCAAAACATCCGTTTCAGAGACAGAGAGAAGAACAGAGACAGCAGCAGCTCTACAGGAGTCAGAGGTGTGAGACAAGTTGCAAAGGGTGACATAGGTAAGTGATCCCCTCCTGGGATGGGAGGATTAGAGTAAAACTATTACATTAGTCCCATCAATCATTGCTAATAGCTGCTGGGAGAGAGTAGTGTAGTAGAAGGACACCTCCAGCTCTGCAAAACTGCAGCAGTTTCTGCTGCAAGTGTCATGCAGAGAAGGTTGTGTAACACAGAGCGCTGGTCAGAAGTTTACATACACCCATCATCAGCATTAAGGTAGAATTGTCGGTAGTTTTCAATCATATCTGAAGCATTTTTTCAAGGTGACATTTTCACACAACAAACTTCAATCAGTCAAAATGAGAATAGTATTATCTTGCTTTATCTATCAAAAAATAAGTGCCTGGGATCATTGTCCTGTTGGAACACCCAATGGGAAAATGATCTAGTTAGGAACTGCAAAGGATCAGGTTTGAATTAAACTGGATGTTTGTTTTTTTTATTTAAACATTTAAAGTCGATCAAACTCTCTACATATTGTTTTCAGAGTCTGGTATGGAAAATGCCTAAAAATATGAATCTCACTAATTAATCGGGGGGGCCAAGATTGGCGACTAGGAGTGTAGAGACTTTTTTTTCTGTTTTAAAAAAACATATCTTTTGACATATTTTACTAAATGAAAAAAAAAAGTTTTACTTAAGAAATATCCATGTAATGGAATCTATTTGCTTTCCAGCAATTAAAAACAGTGAACATTATTAAATAAAGACTCTGAATATTTATATTTTATTTATAAGACCAGTGTCCTTATTATGTCACATGAGGCATTAGAAATGAAAGAAAATGAAAACTGAATTCAGTGTCTGAACGTATTTGTTGTTACATCAGTCCATCCTAAAAAATGAATGGTTCAAAAGCACAATTAAAAGAACAAGATTAATACATCGTTTGTAATGATGATTGAATACAGCCTTCTGACCGGCACTGTGTGCATAGACTTATACAGATTTCTATTCACGTTTAAGTGTGAATTAAGCCAAACCAATCCAGACAGAAATGATCAAAGCCTAGACAAGTTGATCCTTAAAAATTTATTTAGCTTAATGGAAGATGAATTCAGAAGTGATATAAGAAACAGAAACCAAAACAAAATTTTGAAACATAAAACCCTTGCATAGATCACAGACCATGCCTTTTGTCATCATCTGACAAACCGAACACATTCCAGCATAATCCCTGGTAACCACAACATGACAATGACAGTTGGATTAAATAACACGGTTAAAGTTTGGTTTTCTTGTTGGATGGGGAGAGGAGCAGAATGCTTCGACAGTCTTTCAATGCTGCACTCCTCAGAAGCAGGTAAATGTGCAATTGGGACAGAAAACACAAATTCATAGCCATCACACGTCCTTAAACAAACAGCAACTCCTTGAGCAAGGTACACAACATCCCATCAATTTAATCCCGTTCCGTTTTCCCGCAACAAACAAACAAACAAACAAAAAAAAAAGTACAGCATTGTTATTTTTTAAAACCCAGAATGCTCTGAAATCTGAACAGAGGATTGTGTGTTTTACATATTTCCCACAACACACCAGCAATACAGTCTAACTGAGATAACAATGTTTAACATTGAAGAGCTGTTAAGAGTCTAAGACACTAGCCCTTGTTGTCCTTGCTCGCATTCAGCACCAGCCTGCACATCATCCCACATCAGACGCACGGCTCGGACGCCGAACTCCGTGCCGATGCTAAGGTGCTTTTTAGAAATCCCACGACAGCTTTCATGATTGAGCTTGGTTGCAGATGAAAGCAAGGGTTTCTTTTTCCAAAAGTGATGCAACTGTGTTGTAGTTAATCCGCATCTTGAAAGGTAAAGCTCATGCAGTCTTCCATCGCCCATGCAGTTGTTTTTTTTATGTTTTTAATCATTTTTTTTGCGTTTATTGGTTTTTGTAGAGATACATAACACCAGGAGTAGAGATCGGTAAAATAATGTGAGGAGCGTGAATAAATTCGGGTTTTTTCTTTTTTTGTGTGTTTCTTTGATTTGAAACTATAAAACATAAATCATCTATGTTTTCACAACTGTCCATATCATCTAACGTACAGAAGGTGATCATTATAAAGTGTTTTATTTTTCATGGCTTGCTGGAGGAACACATTCTTTTTATTTTCCAGTATAAGGCTTGTTTGTTCTAAATCAGTCACGGTACAGTGCCACCAAAGACAAAATAAAACAAAAACACATTTAATATCTTTCCCCTATTAATTTCAGGATATAGTGGTTACTTTTCTCTAGCTCATCACCTCCTAAAAGTTTTTTTTTCCTCCAAATTTTGTTCAATTCAGTCATATTTAGCTCTGATAACACTTGTTTACAGAAGCATAGCATCCATCACACATATTCAGGTAAATTCTCTAACTTTTACTCAATAACAGCCCCAAAAACTGAAGGCCAATTCTCTCAAAGTGCACTAAGGCTCTTCCTTATAGGTTTAACTGAGCCATTTAGCAGCTTTTGCTCCAATGAAGCCCTATATGTGTTTCTCTAAATAAATGATCAGTTACTACGTCTGAGGACAAACCCCCCAGACTGAACAATCACAGGGTTGACACATAAGCAGCCCAGTTGTGGTAAGAAATTCCTAAAGTCTATAATATGAACAGGTTATATGTTGTCCTATTGCTCATAAGGATGCAGTTTTCATTGGAAAGCTGAATGCATAGCACCATCAGTACAAGTCCCATCTGCTAAGAAGATCATCTGTATTTTCTTCAACGTTGCACTTTTTTTCCATGAAAAAAATGTGATGACAGCAAAGGTTCTTTGCAGCTGCATTTGAGGCTGATATAATGAACTTGTATATTCTATATTGTTCTGTATATATTTCCTCCTAATCTACAAATAAAAGACTAATTTATCACTTTTTATTTTACTTGCAATAAGTAAGTTTTTTTTTTCTACTTTGCCTGAGGAGGACGCTCTTCAAAGGTACAGTACAAAGATCAGTTTCAAACTAAATGACAGTTTTCTACAACAAGCAACCTCCCTGCTTTGAACAAAAGGCATTTAAAGCATAATTCATCACCCAATAATTAATGAGGGGTTGCTTTTCTGCTCCAGATTATGTTGTGGAAACAAGACAACGGTGGTAGTCTTGTACTAGCACCACAGAGGATGGCCACTGCACCAGCAGAAACAGCTAAGACATTAGAGTAGCACTGCAGTGCAGCTTTTTTTTTTTTTTTCCCAAGGATCTTTGTCGGGAGAGTGTTAAATAAGAAGAAGGAGCTTTACAGTACAGTACAGCACAGAGTCTAACTATTATATGGATGAACTCCTCCCAGTATGAAGAGCAGACTGGTGTACAGTACCTGGAGAATTTCAAGTACATTTTGTACCAATCTGCTTGCTGTTCTCCTGTGAGCTATCGCTGTGACAGAACAAATCAAAAATGGCCTTTTTTTTTCAGCAATGGAGTGAAGCAGTTGTGCAAAAGAGATGGATCACATTTAGCTGTGCATTATAATGCCCCATGACTGCTGCAATATGAAAGCTCTCAGCTTTTCATTTACACAAATCTATTCAAACATACGCAGCTGTTTTCGCTGTGACAACACTTGACATGGCACTGTTTCAAAGAAACTTACGCGTACAACAGTCGGGTAGAGTCACGCAATCTCTACACACTCCATACAAATGAACGGGCTGATTGTGCGCAGCTTTAAGTGGAAAAAAGGAGCAGGATTGCAATACCCTACTTTCCCTACATGTAAGTGCTTGTGTAAAGGCTTTGCTTTGGGAGTCTCACATTCAATATTGCATGACTGCAGGTTACACTTAAGGTTCTATTTTCTATTCGTTTGTGTATATATATATATATA